GAAGATTCCCCATATTTCACTGTTGCTGGACATCCCCTGAAGCTCCTCAAGAGGACCTCATTGCCAACACTGAGCTCAGCATCCCCCAAACAGGCACTTGCTTCCTGGGTTCTCAGTTCATAAGGGAATGCTACCATCACTCAGGTGTGCCCACAGTTAATTTGAGAGTCGCTCTTGCCCCCACCTTCTTCACCCCTCAATAATTCCTGTAGAATCCATCCTGAGAATCTCCCTTTAAAGATTTCTTGAATTTTCTCATCTCCACCTCCTGTGTTATCTCCTACTCATCCTTCCAGGCCTAATGGAAAAAGCTTTCCCTCCCTCCCTTCCATCTCTGTATCCTCATTATAGTTAGTACAAGTTTTTATCAGTGAGCTGATGACTCCAGGTTGAGGCCATGTATGAGTCATTTGGGTGAACCCAGAGCCCAGCATGGTGCTTGGCATAGGCAAGACATCCCTGAGAGTTTCTTTAATGGCTCTACCTACTTTGGTTGTCACTGCTCTAGTACATAATCTTATTAGCTTTCTCAATTTGCACCTGTCACTCAGCTCATCTTTTAGTCTCCAGTTTGTCTTCTTGCAACCCCTCCTCCACACAATTCACTCAGTATGATCTCTCTTTTGTTCAAAATTAACCCTATTTCCCCTTCTTTAAATCCTTCAGTAGATTTCCACCTAGAAGATCTACACAGTGACACAGGCCTGCCCTGCTCTACCCTATCTCTAGACATTTCTTCCATACCTACTCCCTCCTTTTGCCCTCCTGACACTGTAGCTTTTTGAGCATCCATGCTCTGCACTCAGGGATAGATACTCCATGCCCCATGCCCCCCAGTTCCCTTCTTTAACTTGTTAAGGACTAGCAAGCCTTCATTTTTCCTTCCAAGTCATTCTTCCTCCCCATCTCCTAGAGTCTTGAGTTTGTTGCCTCCTCTGAGTTTTCAATAGTTCCCTGGCTTCCCTCTGATCACATGTATTTTTATTGTTTGGTGAGGCATCTCTATTCAGTCACCCAGCATAAGGTCTAGCATGAAGGAAATACCAGTAAAGGAGAAGGACCTTGTGAGGGAAGCCTTAAGCCCAGTACAGGGTTGGGAAACTTCTATAGTTTGGATCTGGAATGCCCCCCAGAGGCCCAGGTGTTAGTCTTGGTGTTATTGGGAGGTGGTAGAATCTTTAGAAATTGAGGCCTAGTGGGAGATCCTCCATCACTGGGGGTGTGCCCTGAAGGGGATTTGGGGACTCCAGTCTATCTTTTTTCTTTTTTCTTTGGCTTTTTGGGCATGAAGTGAACTGGTGAACTCCTCCTTCTCCCATACTCCTCCTCCTTCTCCACCCCCTGCCCTTTTGTGTGTGTGTGTGTGTGTGTGTGTGTGTTGCTGGGGATTTAAACCAGAGGCGATCTACCACTAAGCTACATCCCCAGTTCTTATTATTTATGTTATTATTTTGTTTTTTATTTTGAGACAGGGTCATGCTACTGACCTTGAACTTAAAGCCCTCTTGCCTTATCCTCCCAAGTAGCTGGGATTGTAGGCATGCCCTACCATAAACAAATTATGTTTGTCATAATTTGTATGTTCTCAGAAAAGGCACTTCCATTCTCTACACCTGTTTCCTTAATAATAAATTGGGGGCAATGAGTCCTAGTTTATGTGGTTGCCAGGAGGGTTAAGGGGGGTAATAGTTAAGAGGGTTAGGCACCTAGCAGGAGCTAAGTAAATGGGAATCCAAATTGGAAACCAGTACCCCCTGCTTTTAAGGACTAGTTCAACAATTTTTTAAAACTTTATTTTTGGTACTGGGGATCTAGGGATGCTGAACTACATCCTCCATCCTTTTTTATTTTGAATTTTGAGACAGGATCTTGCTACATTGCTGAGGCTGGCCTTGAACCTGCATGCCTCCTGGCTCAGCCTCTGGAGTCACTGGGATTACAGGCATGCACCACCATACCTGGCTCACTTTAACGATTTTTAAAATCTAGCAAAACTGTAACTACTACTTGCCAGGCATTGTATAAAGAGTAGGGGATGCCTAGCTAGTTCCTGGGTTACTTTCTGCTTCATTTCCTACCAGTTCCCCTTTCCAACAGCACATCCAGGGAGTAGTTAGTATTCAGTTAGCATTGTACTTTCTAAAAATAAATAAATAAATAAATAAATAAATAAATAAAAGAACGACTTACAGGTCCTCGGACATATCATTCTGTGTTGTACTTCTCTGTCTTTCCTACATAGTACTGCATACCCTGCATAGTACTGAATACCCTTTCTTCCTTGTTCATCAAGTGAAATTTGCTGTTTTTCCTTCCTTTCACTGTGCTATTTTAAAAATTTATTTATACCCATGTCATAGCACTGGGCCATAATTATCTATTTGCAAGTCTAACCCCTTGAAGGCAAGGACACTGGGCTGAATATGAGTGGTACTAGATAAACCTTTGAGTAAAGGAAGGATAAGACAAGGTCTTTGCCTTGGAGGAACTCCAAGTGGAGTGAAGAGTCAGATTCATGATAGATTAAAAGTGGCCACAGTCCTTTGTAGCTTTTCCTCTTGAGAGCTGGATTTCCTCATCCCTTGATTAAGGGCTAGCTTTGTGACTTGCCTAATAGAAACTGGTGGAAATCATGTTGTGTGAGTTCCAGATCTAGCTTTGGACTTGCAACTTTGGCCTTTACCCTCTTGGTGGGACATTTCCAGGAGGCTGCTAAGAAGCCAAGAGGCTACCCGGAAGAGGACCAGGGCACTCCAATTTCCCAGACATGTCATGGGACCATTTTGGACCTTCTAGCCCAGCCAGTCCTTAGCTGAATGAGCTGCATAAGTGAGGAAATGCCCAGTAAACCCACAGAACATAAGAAATAATAAGTGGCCAATGGGTTTTGGGATAGTGAGGTGTCAATAGATGACTGAAACATACCTAAACAGTTGATCACAACATAGGGTGACAGGGGCAATAACAAGGATACAGGGGTCATGAGAAAAGACCACCAAGTCTTTTGGAGATGGTATTTGGGCAGGATGTTGACGGATAATTAGAAATTTGATATGGTGGGGTAAAATAGCACTGTTAGAAGAAGCAGCTGTGTAAAGATAAGGAGGCAAAAAAGGAAAGGCACAGGGCGTGTGGGTAGCATTGAGTCAATGAACATAGGCCATGGAACTCATGGAGGGGAGTAGCAGAAATGGAAGCTGGAAATACAGGTTGAATTTAAATCACGGAAGGTCTTGTTATGCAGAGGATCTTGAACTTTATCTTATAGGAAGTCACTTAATTTGATTTGTCCTTTAAGAGGTAAACTTAGAGTATAGACAGGGTCTTGGGTTTTAACCTGAGAAGCATCTAGATAGGCTCTAGAGGTTTCCTCACTTCCTGAGTTAGTTGCATGTACAATGCTGTATATGAATGTGTGTGGTCATATATGTATTTTTTTAGGCAAGAAACTTTTCTGGTATTCTGTCGAGAATAAAAGAAACACCAACATTTTTGGGGTAGAACAGGGTGTGTGTGTCAAGGAATTGAGGTGATTTTTGCCTGATGGCTATTCTTTTCCTAGTTCAGCAGATGGTGAGACTGATGCTATGAGAGAAGTAAGGCCTCTAAAAGCAGGGCTTTGCTTAGCCTTTGCAGTGAAACTCTCCAGGACAGAGCCTCGTCTTCCTCTCAGACAAGGATGCCCAAGAGGTCATTTCTCTACCTCACATCAGGGTTTTCTAGATCAGGGCAACGTCTCCTTGGGGGCTGACTGGGCTGCTGCTCTCAAATCAGGATTCATGAGGGTGGGGCTTCCTCTCCAGCACTGGCACTTTGGGCTACTCAGTTCAAGCTCTACACAAAGGCATTTATTGGAGGAGGTGCCAGTGGAGGCTGGTGTCAAGCCCACACTTGGCACTCCACTCTCCAAGCTCTGCACCCTGATTCCAGGCTGTGTCAGCTGGGAGGACAGAGTGCCTGAGAGGACATGTTTCTCTAGTTCCCACCAAGGTTTGGTGTGAGCCAGCAGGGACCCTGGCTCTCCACTGCAGCTTATCACTCCCTACTGTTTTGCTCTCCACCAGAGCAGGGCTGTGTTTCCCAGTTCATATTGGGGATCCCTCAGATGCTCTCCTGCCATTTAGATAAATTTCCTGGAGCAGGCCTTGTTTTCTTCTTTCTGACAAGGGTGCCCAAAGGCAGGGCTCTACCTCTTAGGTAAAAACTTCTGAGGGAAGTTCTTTCGCCTTCCTACACAAAGAAGTGCCATCTATAGCTAAGCTGTTATCCTTAGGCTTCCTTCGTTTTTTGCTCTGATCTTTTAGGACTGTGTGATGACTCCCTTCCTGTTTGCCCACAGGCAATATCTACCTGTTTCTCTATACCGGCCTGATACCAAGTTTTGGCAGGATTGACTGTTGATTTGCTGAAGAGATCCTGCGTGTGTTCCCCACCCCCACTCCCCCAGCAGGGATTGAACCACTGAACCCAAATCCCCAGCCCTTTTTATTTTTATTATTACTTTTTATTTTGAGACAGCATCTTGCTAAATTACTTAGGGCCTCACTAAGTTAGTGCGGCTGGTCTTAAATTTGTGATCCTCCTTCCTCAGCCTCCGGAGTTGTTTGGATTATAGGTGTGTGCCTCCATGCCTGGCTACACATCTTTCTTTCGAAGACTAAAATCTTCAGTGATTCTAGCCTATGTCTCTGGCTTTCTTATAAAGCAAAACTCCCTAGGATACTTCCTGGTGGATAGGACACTTGAGAGGTACTCTGAGCCCAGCAGACCCCAGGGGACCTTGGCATCTTTCCTTAAGAACCATCCATCTTTAAGATACATCCATCAGTGGCACCTGGGCCTTCTGAGTTTACTTAGACACAAGAGGGAACCAAACACAGTTCAGTCCTCTTCTCTGACCTCCCTAGGAGGGGAAAAGCTAGCAACAAGCCTGGTCTTGAAGCTCTCATCTAGATGAGCTTATCTCTCATGGCCACCTGCTACTCCCTCCTCACCTGGTATCTGTCTGAGTGGTGCAGATCATCAGTGGCAGATGAATGTGGTGATGCTGTTGGAGATTCTCCTTCCCTCTTGATGGAAGCAGACAACAGGAGGGACTGGAAGAAGAAAAAGGACAAGTGGCCTCAGACCAAATGGGACCTGTAGTCAGTCCCCTGGAGTTACCAGTCCTGTAGAGCTTTTGGGAGTGAAGCAGGAAGAAGTAGGGCAGAGGGACAGAAGACCACCTTTGAGATTCTGAAGACATATGGGCAGGCGAAGGAGTATGGTTATGGGAGAGAATGGTTGATTTTAGGTCTAGGTATAGACTCCCCCCCACCCCAGAGCATCCAAACCTCCATCCCTGCTGCAGTTAATCTTTGCCTCAGGGAGCTGACACTCTCAGTCCACTCTCTGTGGGCTGAACAGTGGGCAGAACCTGCTTTATTCTCCCTTAGAGAGCAGACACTCTGAAACCCCCATGAAAGGTTGGGGGTAAAACCACTTATCTACCACACTGCCTGCCCCTAATACAGGCTGATGGCAGCCCTCTATGGAGACAGTAAATTAAATAGTATGTATGAGTTTCCTGCGTGCAGCTAGGGATGTACGCTGGGTCCATTTATCCCTGTGCTGTGGCGATGACCCCAGCAAAAACCCCAGCAAAACTAATCCCCCCATGTCAATCCTGCACGGCCTCTTCTACATACGCCTGCAGTTTAGATTAATAAACTGTCTACTTTAAATTGTTTGCGAGCACCACAATTCTAAATACCACATGGCACATTCAGCCTGAGAGCCAGCTCTTGCCAAGGCCTTGTTCAGCTGCAAACTGGGGGCCCAGAGGCCTAAAAGCAATCCATACTTCCTCCCCCCACCTTCTCCAGCCTGCACAGCTCTGAGAAGGAAGCATACAATTCCCTAGGAGTCCTCCCCAGCCTAGAAAGCCATGCCAAATCGCCAGTGACAGCCCAAAGAAAGCAATTTGGGAAAGATGGAGCAACCATTTATCCTTCATCTCCAACTGAGCCTTAGGATGTGACCCGCATGCCGTGGCCATGTTGCACATCCTCAGGCAAGGGCTCTGGGAAGGGAAGGGGCAGCTGCTGATCTGGCAGGGATCCCTGACTCGCCCACGGCTCAGAGAGGAGGCTGCAGAGAGCCTGGAGTGGGATTCCCTGCAACTGGCAGCTCCTTTTTCACCCACCCAAGCCCAAAAAGAGGCCTGTGGGCAACTCAGCCCCAGATCAGAAAGAAGGTGATGTCAGGCAATGTCCTTCTCCTCTGGTCCCAACGCTGAGGAGGGTGAACAATGTGGGTCCCCCACCATGAAAAACTCATGCTTGTGTGCACTTTCTCTCTCTCCCTCCCTTCCTTCCTCTCTCTTTTTCTCTGGGTTAGAAGCCCTGAGAGGCCTCAGCATTACACCTGGGGCAAGCAGAATAAAAAAAGGTCACTGGTGCTTTTTAAACATGGACCAAAAAGCAGTAAAATGTGTTTTGAAAAAAAAATCTCGGCATTAAATCATGACTTTTTGCCTGGCTCTTCGCCTCATTAAAAGTGGCCTTTTGGAAGGTAAAATTATCATTGTAAGCGATAAGATCTTTAAGAAAATAATTCACGGCTTCTTCACCCTTTAATATGATAGCCGCCACCGGCTAATTTTTTTCTTAATGGCAACGAGGCCATCAATCTTGTCTAAGGCCTCCTCGCCCTCTCCTCCTCCTCCCTCCCGCCTTCTCCCTATCTTCCTAGTCTCTTGCTTCAACCTTCTGCCTCCTACCTCTTTCCCCTATGACCTGCTTCCCTAAAGCTGAGGTCAAGGCCAAGGATAGGTCAGGAACTGTTCAGCTGTGAGGATTAAGCGTATATCTGGAAGTGGGTGAGCAAGTGTCTCTTGTCTCATCTGGTGGCCACTCTTCCTGTGTATGTGGTTGTGGGAATGTGCCCAAGTTTAAGACTTCCTGTGTGTGTATTCTGACCAGGCTTTGTGTATGGGTCTGCATATGTGGGAGGTAGGAATGGATGCAGATTTTCAGGATTTGGCCTTAGAATATTTGGCCTTTCTGGTGTCCAAGTTCCCAAACCTGCCAGCCATGCTCAGATGTCAGATGTCACTGGTGTATCGGCCAATGTGCAAGTTTTGTCATGACCTTCCTTAACCACACCATTCAATGCTGCAGGCTGGGCTGAGCTTGGCCAGTGTGGCTCCCTACCTCTGTGAGTTGCAGTTGCCTGGCTTTCCCACCTTTCTCTTTGGGGCTGGCAGGCCTTTGCCTCCTTGGCCAGGGCTTGCACCAGTCCAAAGCTGGGCTCAGTTCTCTGCTTCTCCTCTTCCAGCTGACTGCAGCTGAGAGACTTCTAAAATGAAGGTGCCAAGTTCACCTTTATCCTTTGTAAAGGCCTGCAGAATAGTGAGGCCAACCCTGCAGAAGTGAAACCTATCACTTTGGCTCTTTTTCCCAAAACGACCCTCTCAGAGGTCACCAATGACTTTAAGTCTTCCAAATACAGTGGGTCCCTCACCAGCCTTTCCCTTTTGCATTGCTGAGCACCCATACATTCCAAAACATTTTTTTCCTTAAGATCTCGGGATAATATGTTATCCTGTGGTCCTCCTAACACACTAACTGTCCCTCCTCTGTCTCCTTCCCAGCCTTCTGGACCTCACCTTGACTGGAAGTGCAGGATTCCTGAGATTCCCTGAGCTTCAACACCCACACCTCACTCCCTATAATATGCACTAAGAGGGGGTTATTTTGAAAACTTGTAAGAAGGGCAACCATATGCCGGGGGTGGAGCAGGGGATACTTATTGGTAAGGGCTTAGTGTTCCTCTCGAGGTCCTCATCCCTTCCAAATCATCATCTTTGGAGAAGAAGTACCATCTTCTTCTGTAGGGAGTTCTCAGCATAAATTATGTTATTATACTAAGTTTCTCTGGCCCCTCCTTTGAGACAGATACTCGCCCTTCATGTTTCCTTTCTCCATCTGATGCTTTCAAGGTTCTCTTCCATAATGTGTGTTTAGAGGGGCAGACTGTCTCCTTCGATCACCAACATCCTCTCTGGTTCCTTATTGCATTGCACATACACCCAATGGTCTGGCTTCTAAGGCCTTGCACTGTCTTTAACTCAGTTTCTATATTTTTCTTCACCTGCTACAGCTCATCTTCCTCCTTTTAGTCTCCCAGCCTTAGTGTTTGGGTTGCCCATATCCCCAAGCCACTCTTAACTCTGATCCCTCTCCTTCCTCCTAGGAGGAAGTCAGATGAGCATATCCTCACTCACACAAAGACACCCCCATCCCCACACCACACACACAGTAGCTCTAGGCCTTAGGTTGATGTTCAAACCCAGGAGACATTGGGTATCCAGGAGGAGCTCCTTTCTCTCAGGAAGAACCAGATCTGGGTAGAATTAGGTCAGGATGGACAGGAGGAAAACATAATTGACCACCTACCTTGGGGGTGCCTGGAGCCATGGCATCCTTCAGAAGGGAATTCTTGCTGCCAAGAAAGAAGAAAACAGGGTTGATCGTTATACCTGCTGCCCAGGATATGTAAAGCTAAAGTACCAAGAAGAACCTAAGAGAGATGGTATAGCCAGCCTTACCCAGCCAGCTTAGCCAAGTACCACCCAACCTATTCTACACAGTGGCCTGGCCTACCTTATCAGCCTTTATCCGGGGCCAAAGGCCATGCTGATCACTGGTAGAGAGTTACACATACAAGGCATGGGAGACTCCTCAGTGGATCTGAGGAAAGGAACTTATACCTGACTCCTGGGATTAGCCCTAAAAATTCTGCCTGCCTAGGAGGCTTCCTTTCTTTCCCCACGCCCTGTCCCCAGCCTGTTCTTATCTCCTATGGGATTGGGGTGATGAAGCTGACATGGCTCTTGTCAATTCTCCCTCCAACACGCTGCAAACTGTGTTAGGCCAGGAATGATCTCCCCCTGATTCAATTTGTCAGCCCCAGGCCCTCCGGCATCGGGCGCGGTAGGCGGGCGGGAGCTGGGCCCTGAAATATGGTGGGCAGCTCAGAGCAGGCGGGGGCCGGGGCGGGAGGTGATGGATGGGCTGTGGGGGAGGCGAGGACTGTGTTTAATAACAAAATTGGTATGCAAGGCCACATCCCGCGCTAAGCATGAGTGATCCAGAGCCACAAAGTATTACAAATCCCCGCTAAACAGATGCTGACAATGGAACAAGACGTATCAAATCAGATCCACTTCAGAAACATTAATATCCCTGTTCCTGTCCCTCCCTGCCTGCTGCCCCCGCTATGCTCACCACATCTGTGCTCACACATTTGCTTGAGTGCACACACACACACACAAATACATGTATACAGAGGTGCTGGCCAATACATGTACGAAGGCAGATGCAGCCCATTTTTATAGGGTCTCCACATAGACACACATACATGTGGAGCACATCCATGGAAACATCCAGAAGGCACAAAAGATATACACACATCCAATGCAGAATATGTGAGATGTATATGAATATACTAAGTTTGTTTACCTAGGGAATACCAACAAGAGCTTGGCTAGTATGCACAAGGCCCTGGGTTCAATCCCCAATACCCCAGGATGGCTTAAAGAACCCCAAAAAACAAAAAACAAAATAAAACAAAAAAACATAGGAAACACCAACAGATGTGCTTAGACATCCACAGGGTCAGACTTAGACACACCCAATGTGCAAGTAAAACACAAGCAGATTTGGATAAAGTAGTGACCTCAATGATGGGGAGGGCTGTTTGCCAGTACAGGGAGTATTTCTGTGTGTGTGTGTGTGTATGTGTGTGTATTGCAGTGCTGGGCATAAAATCTAGGGTCTTACATATGCCAGGCAAATGCTCTACTATTGAATTAAACCCCCAGTCCCTGGAGATAGTTTTGATTGTTGAAACTTGGGCGGGGAGAAGGGGATTACTACTGGCATCTAGTGGGTAGAAGAAGCTAAACATCCTACAGTATCATGGACAGCTCCTCACGATACAGACTTATCTGACCCAAAATGTCAATAGTGCTGAGGTTGGGACACACATATCCACAGACTATAATGCTGCCAATAGGCACATATACATATGCAGTTACACCTAGAGAGTGCATACAACACAGGGCTGCAGGGTCATAATTCCAGAGATGTGGCCATAAAGACAAATTCAATGCGTGGAAAATCTGCTCATGCACACAGGTCCACATAAACATGCACAGGTAAGACATCCACAGGCACTGACACAAACCAAGATGCACAGTCATCTCCAGAGGTACACACATATGGGCATACATACAAACACACATATACCACAGTGCAGAGGCCCTTGGCTCAGCAATAGGGTAAAACCAAGGTCTGAGTGTAAGAAAGAGCTATCTACCAGTCAGATCACACAGAGGGGGCATCGTAGACTAAGAAGGACAGACAGAAAAGGTCCCATTCAATTACCTTTCATTCCCGTCCATTTTAGGCCTTGATCTAGGCATTGGAGATACAGAGGGGAAACTGAGCTACTCTCAAGGAGCAACTTGTTGGTGAGTTCATGACTTTTATCATTACTATACTCTTCAATTCACTCAGTAAGCAAGTACTAATATCACCTTTCTGCCTACATAGTGAGGCATCTAATGTATACAGTGTGTTTACTAGGCCCTATCCCCAACTGGGATATAAGTAGTATCTAGTTGGATCAAGTAAGAACAGAAAAGGAAAGAATGAACAATTATTGTACACCCACTATATATCATAGTTACAGGCTTCCCTGCACCTCCACAGACACTGGGGATTGAACCCAGGAGTGCTTTACCCCAGAGCTACATCACTCCTTTTTTGAGACAAGGCCTCACTAAGTTACTCAGACTGGCCTCAAACTTGTGGTCTTCCTACTTCAGTCTCCTGAGTTGCTGGATTTCAGGTGTGCAACACTGTGCCTGCCTAAGACACAGGCTTTGAATGTCTTATCTCACTGAATCTTCACAAAAACTTTACAAAGTTGACTAATGAGTTATGTGACAACTTTGTGTTCACAGTCTGTGGAGGGTTTGGGATTTGAATTTGTATCTGACCAAATCTGAAGTGTTGGTTTTCATTTTATTTATTTTTTGAGACAGGAAAGGAGGAGTCTTGTTACATTGCCGAGGCTGGCCCTGAGTTCCTGGGCTCCTGAGATCCTGCTGCCTCAGCCTTCTAAGTAGCTGGGACTACAGCCTCCATGCTCACACAAAGTGTTAATTTATATATATTTAGTTGTTGATGGACCTTTATTATTATTTTTAAATTTGTTCACTTATATGCGGTGCTGAGAATCAAACCCAATGTCTCACACATGCTAGGCAAGTGCTCTACCACTGAGCTACAACCCTGGCCCAGAGTGCTTATTTATATATATATATTTAGTTGTAGTTGGACTCAATACCTTTATTTTATTTATTCATTTATTTTTATGTGGTGCTGAGGACTGAACGTAGTGCCTCTTGCGTGCTAGGTGGGCGCTCTACTGCTGAACCACGACCCCAGCCCCCAGAGTGCTCATTTTTAATTGCCCACATCATCTTTCTAAGGATATGCAGGGCTCAGGCTTATTTGCAGAACTCTGAGTTTTTTTCTCCTCTGCTTGCTGTGTCGCTTTGGGGATGGTCTTACTGACCCTGGGCTTCACTTTGCTGATAAATAGATTTGGGCCATTCAGGGTCAGGATGTCCAGCCTCTTACTTGGTCAAGTTCATGTTCTGGATCTTTTCCTAGCAATGCTCTTTCCTTTCCTTGCATGGAGCTCATACCAGCTCCTATTCTTTCCCTTGCCCTGAGCAAGGGCCCCTCCCTACCTTTCCTCCATCAACCCCATCACCTCCAAGTTTGTTTGGTCTCCCAGAGACTGAGGAGTCTGGTGAGGGGCCTGCCTTGGAAAGAAAGGTCTGTGCTCTGGGAGCTGTTGGCAGCCCAGCTCCCGCCCAGTCCATCAGCTCTGCCTTCTGTCCCTCCCTGTTTCCACAGCCCACCCTCAACGATTTCCTCCCTTGCTCAGCCACTCGCTGCCTAGTGATCCATGGGTTTTAAATTATAACTGGGACCCAGGAAATGCGTTCCTAAGTACAATATTCATGGGCTGGGCTGACACTTTTAATTAAGGTGATTTACACTGAATTATCCTTGGAAATAAAGAAATGGTGCACTGCCCGGGAATAAACCATCATCACCAGCCGCCTTTGTAAGTTACACTTCGTTTTAATCTATTTGGGGAATTGTTTATCTAGTTCATTACCCAACCAAACACCGAGGCCGGCCTTAAATAAGGCTTAAGTGGGGGTGAGGGCACTGCCATCTCTATAGCCCGCCTCTCCTCCAGAGTCACCCAGCCTCCATTGGCTTATTTCAGTTCTCTTAGAGCTCTGCCCAAAGAGGTAGTTCTCCAGCCCAGAGGCCAGCTCTCATAGTGACTCTAGAAGCCTCCGAGAGAAGATCTCTGAGCTCAGGCCCCAAGAAGCCAACCTGCACCTTCAGCTTTGTGCAATCTTGTCATGACTAAGGCTGTTTCTTTCCTCTGGGTGGAAACTCCTGCCTGAGGGCCACAGAGAGGTCTGGGACCTGTTCGTCCATCTTCAGCTCCCATCTATGTTCCTGCTTGTCTCTGTACACATGCAGTTCCTACCCTATACCACCCCAGAGGTGTCTTAAGCTCAGCTTGCCCAGAACCCTGCCTGTTGCTTCCTCCTCTCTTCAGTCACTTGTTTCTCTGCTACCACCACCCTCTCAATCATCCAGGTCAGAAAGTTTTCTCCAATTAAGTACTCCAGTTAAGTCTTCTGACTTCTTCGTCCTCCAGGTGTCTCACCATCCCTTCTCCTGCATCCCCACCGCTACTGCCATTGTCCTAGGGCAGGCTCATCAAGCATCCTCTGCACCTGGCCCAACCTCCTCATTTGCCTCCCTGCTTCTGCCCCCAGTCCATACATGCCACTGGCTTCCAGAGCATTTCTTCTGCAGCCCATCTTGCTCTGAGAGAGCTTCCTCCTGGCTCACAAATATTCTCATTACTGCTACTACGTTTAGGACTCCTTCCAACATGGAATCTGTCCTCAACCGAACATTGTCCTTGTTCTATCTGCTAAATCCTGGGGTCTAAAGGAGCCCTTGTGCAGGACTGAGGAAAGACGGGTGAGGAGGGTGTGTGAGCATTGTCTCTGATCTCAGATGTAAAAATGTTTTGAAAAGTCTATGTGCTGTGCCAAAGGAAGTTCTGACTACTTTTTCTGGGAGGTTCTGGCTGGCCATGTACCCGTGGGAATGGGCATCTTTGGGAAGGTGGTTCTTTCAAGGTTGTGTGAGCACATTTATGTATGTGGGAATGAGATTTATGCGCACACCTATGTGTTGTGCCTGTGTTTATGAAGGGTAAGTTCCCTGATTTTCCTGTGGGCCCCTGGGTGTGACCAAAATAGCATCTGGTTGCCAAAGAGGCCTGCTTTGTGCTGTTGGGTTGACAGAACTGATGGCAGAACAGCCCCACCTGGAGAGCCACTCAAGCAGAGCCACGTGGGAGAGAGGCACTCACCCAGGTTGATGCAGGGCACCCTGGCAGCAGCATCCAAAGATTCAGGAGTGGGCCAGCCTAAGGAAAGTTCCCAGAGGCAAAGAAGACAAGGCAGGGTGAAACAGGGAAAGGGTCAGTTGGAAAGCAGAAGGCAAGGGCTATCAGGGGTAAGAAGAGAGAGGAGCAGCTGGGAGAGGGAACAAGGGGAAAAACAAGAGAGAATTGGAGAGCTGGGGAGGAGGCCTTGGTCACAGGCTGTAGATGGCGTATGCCCGCGGTTGGGCTCTGCCCTCTTATGGGACTCAGTTTCTCCATCTGTGAAATGGCCACTCTAAGGTCCCTCTCTGTCCAGATGTCGATGTTGGGAGAAGAAAGGTGGGCACATGTGTCAGAGGCCTTGGTGTCTCATCTTTTCGCAGCCTCTTTTGCTCTCCTTCTGTCCTCTGGAGAGCTGGCAGGGGCGGGGCAAGGACAGCCAAGGCTGGGGCTCCCTCCGCGCCACCCGCCCCGCCCAGCGCACGCACGCAGCCCGTCAGCCCGGAGGGAGCTGACACGCTCCTTGGGAATTTATCACGCACCCAATTACAATGTTAATTGGCAAGTTCCTGAAATCAATTAATTCGCAAATTTTTTCCAATTAAAAATCCAGATAAATCACGAGGGCGGCGGCGGGCCGGTCCAGCCTGCAGTCCAGTGGGCGCAGCGGCCGCAGGGAGGGGAGCGCGGGCGAGGAGAGGGGAGGGGGCGGCGGGCGCGGCTGCCCTTGAACGCCTTTGCCGGCCGGTCCGACTGTCAGCACGCCGGGCGCGGCGGGGCCGAGACAGATAAAACCATCGACCCGTCGCCGCCAGCGCTTCGGCTTTATCGATCCGACGGGAATTTCACTTGCTGTGCAGATCCCGCTGTCCGGCTGTCAGACACCCGCTGGTGGGGAGGGGGGGCGTGCCGGGGGCACAGGGCGGCGTGGGCGAAGGGGGTGCTGGGCAGGACCCGGACGTGAGGGGACTGATGCTGGGGACATCAGCAAGACACAGCCAGAGGGGCAGGAAGCAGATGCGGGGTGGGGAAAGGTACAGGGGTTTAGGGTGTGCAGAAAGGGGATGCTCCTGGGAAGACGTGGGGGATGAGGGATTGTGCAAAGTCCTGGATGGAAGTCGAACTAGGAAGGCTTTGGGCATTAAGGGATGGCCTGGGCAATACAGGTGTGTGTGTGTGGTGGGGGGATCCCAATGAGGAGGCAGAAAGAGAGTTCCCATTCTCCAGACCCTGGGGTACACTGCCTTTACCAGACTCTGCAGGTCCCTCCATCTCTGCCTCTGTTTTCAGTTTCCTGAGACATCCTTCATTGAGAGCAAATTACACAGAACTCTTCCTGGACAGCGAGGTATGGCACTCAGCAGCAGGATGTTTCTTTCACTTTCTACCCCTGGCAGGTCAGTCTTGGTTGTGTAAGTGTTTGGGGGAGGTGGCATTAAAAGCACAGGCACCGGAGTCAGATTTCTTGAGTTGGAATTCTATCTTTACCACTTATTAACTGTGAAGTCACTTAACCTTTCTGTTTCCTCATCTGTAAAATGGGTAATAATTAGAGTTATGTACCACATAATGATGTTTTGGTCAATGACCCACTGCATGTGTGGCAGTGATCACATATTATATCACCTTGTGATATTGTAGCCATCTCAGTCCTGTAAGTGCATTTTATGATGTTTGCATGACAAAAATGACATTTCTTAGAACACATCCCTATCATTAAGTAATATACAACTGTACCACTTACCCCAAAGTGTTGCTGTGAAGATTAAATAAATTAAGGCAATGTAAAGTAGTTGGCACATAGTGAATGTTCAATAAGGATTATTATTAGTAGTAGTAGTCTTCTTTGGGGGTTTTAAAGTATGCCCACAAACTCTTTTGATACTCCTCCTTTCAAGAAGCAGAGCTTATAGAGCTTAATTTTCCTCCCTTGAGGGACTGGGCTTGGTGACCTGCTTCTATTGAATAGAATAGCATATAGGGGAAGCGATAATGTGTGAATTCCTAGACTATGAAAGGCATTGTGGCTTCCCTTGGATCACATGTTTGTGGGAATTCAACTGCCATGTCAGAGGGAAACTCAAGCATCCCTCAGAGAGACCTACATGTCAAGGAACTGAGGTGTCCTGCCAACAACCATGTGAGTCCGCCATGTTAGAAACAGATCCTACCATCCCAGTCAGATTTTCAGATGACCACAGCCTTGATTAACATCTTGAGACTGTAGCCTCATGAGACGCCTCATGAAACCAGTGGCCACAACTACCCACAACCACTCAGCTAAGCTGCACTAGAATTGATGACCTACAGAAACTGAGATTATAAATGTTTTAAGCCACTAGATTTGGGGATAATTTGTAACATAGAAATTGACAACTACTACTTCTTCCTTCAGTGTTCTTTCCTTAGAGCTGGGCACAGTGGCACATGCTTGTAATCCCAGCTACTAGGGAGACTCAGGCAAGAGGATTACAAGTTTGAGGCCAGCAAGGGTAACTTAGTGGGAGCTTGTCTCAATATAAAAAGGGCTGGGGATGTACTTCAGTGGTAGAACACCTCTGGATTCAATCCTTTGTACCTACACACACACACACACACACACACACACAGCCTCCTCCTTCAAGAAGCCTCCTTTACTTTGTGCTGGGTTCGGTGCCTCCATGATACCCCCACAGCTCCAGCTTTTCCCATATAGCAACTTCTTTGCCTTGGGGTTTGTAGTGCCTGACTCTGTATTCTCATATTCTGAGCTTCCCAGGACAGGGACCATTTTGGATCTTTTGCACCCTGCATGGGAGGTTAGGTGGGAGAGTAGAAGGAAAGCAGATCATTCAGGTTTGATGACTTGAACTAAACAAAAAGCAGTGGGATAGGGAGAACCCCCTGTTCTCTTCTACGATATGACCTTGCCACTCCTCCCATCAAAAGGGGCACTTTTCCTTTTTCCTTGCATCTGGGTGGGCTAATACTGCCTTCATCAATAGAGTACAGTGGAAGTGACATTAAATGACTTCTGAGGCTAGGTTATAAAAGGTGATTTAGCTTCCATCTCATTGGCTGGGACATTTGCTTTTGGAGTCCTAAAAATCTACCTATCCCAAGGTTATTAAGCTGAGAAAGGCCAGGTCATATGGGAAAGTCATGTGCAGGTGCTTTGGTCCCAGCCCCATTTGAGGTCCCAGCTGATAGCCAGCATCAACCTCCAGATGATCCCAGCTCCCAGCCACTGAATCTTTCCCTAGACCTCTGGAGCAGACACTATCCCCTCTGTGCCCTGTCTGAATTCCTGACCCCACAGATTACACAAGCATAATGGAATAGCTGCTTTATATTGTTAAGATTTGAGATAAGTTTTTATACCTCTCCTCTGCTCCCCTCAGGGTCCAGCTCCTCCTCAGCGTCCTTGAGGAGGTTCAGCCTCCTGTCTATGGGGTGGGAACATACCTGAGCACATTCTCAAGATTGTTACCTCCCAGTCCTTGAGATTGATGGAGATGGTACTGCTCACTCTCCTGGAAGGCAGAACCAGGATGAACTTCTGATGGGGCTGCCAGGTCTCATACCAGCTTCTTTATTCTGCCCCGAAGCCTTACATGGCAATAGTAAGCCTGGGGCAGTAACTATGGCAGTACTAGGCCTAGGGCAGTGACTCACTCCTTTCCAACTCCTCTTCTTATCTTTGAGGCTGGGGCCCAAGGGGTCACTCTCCAGTACCATTCAGCTGGAGGATCTGAGGATTGAAAGCTGAGTGGTGGAGAATGACAGCAGGATCCTGGCTTCTCCATAGAGGCTGGGGTGTGGCCAGGTGGCTACTCCTGAAACCTGGTGGCTGGAGCTTCAGTGAAATCCTCCAGTGTGCAGGCTCCCCACAGGGGACTTACCTGGTGGGCAGCTGGGCCAGCTGCTCCAGTTCTTGTTCCATATGTTCTTGTAACTCGCTGGGCCTCAGCAGGACCTGGCAGATGGGGCAGATCGGGGCCTGGCTGTCAAACAATGCTGCTGCTTTCTTCTTACCTGGCAGGCGAAGGATAGACACGCATTAGCTGTTCCAGTCCCTATAGGAAAACTCAGCCATATTGGCTACCACCCCCTAGGGCTTCTTCTTCTTTTTAAAATATTTTGTATTAGTTATTGATGGACCTTTGCTTATTTATTTGCTTATATATGGTGCTAAGAATCGAACCCAGTGCCTCACACGTGCTAGACAAGCGCTGTACCACCGAGCCACAACCCCAGCTCCTCCTAGGGCTTCTTGATCTAGAAGAGTGGTGAGTCGGAGGGTCTGAGAGCCCACAAACATCACTCATTTTTGAGCTCCAGATGCTGTGGCCATAAATGGTGCCTCCTCAGCTAGCTGCCCCTCTTGGAAGTCTATTGGGACACAATGCTCTGTGCAATCAAACTTGATCACTCCATTTCACACATGTTTAATCATACCATCACCCAGAATATCTATCTAGATGTTCCCTGACTTTCTCCTTTCCTCATTGATTTCACAGTTATCAGATCTGGAGAAGAAAGACAAGAGGGAGAAAGGAGAATGGTTTCTGCAGTCATTCAACAACTATTCCCTCATACTCACTCCAAAATAGACATGTGCAGAACAGTGTCATCCTAGAATGGAATCAGATCTAGTCCCTGCCCTTGAGGACCTTGCAGTCAAGTGGGAAAGACCAACAGAGTCTAGGTGATTTCCAGAGCAGCATTCTCTCATTTTTTTACTTTTCCTCAAGATTCTGTCCTTAACTTCTGCTCTCCTCATTCTGCGTGCTGAATGCTATAGTTTATTCTATAGCTATAATTCCTACCCATGTCCTATTGACTGCAGATTCTGTATTTCTACCCCAGATCCCTCCAGACCCCTATATCCAAATATATAATGAACATCAATGCCTGAATGTTCCAGAAATATCTGAAACTCAACAATTCAAATTGAGTTCTTCAACTTCTTCATTCCTTGCAAACTTACTCCTCCTTTAGCAGAGCCCATCACTGTAAATGATACCTTTATTAATCTACTCACCCAAGCCAGTAATAGCCTCACCATCCACTCCTTCTCTTGCCTTTCCACCTCTTGCACACTTAACTACCAAGTCCTGACCAGTCTACTTTAATATTCCTGGAATCTATAGTCTTCCCATTCAGGTCTCACTATTTCTTCCTTGGACAACTTCATTGGCCTCTGTAGGTCTCACTGATTCTGAGTTTTCGTCTCCAAAATATCCTTTAAGTTGTGTATATCCCCAATATATGAGTATATTGGGAGCCACCTGGGAGCCTGAACTCTATTCCTGCTTGGTTACTAACGATATCCAGAATAAACTAAGCTAGGAAAGAGCCCTCTGTTTGCTTAGTTTACCCCTCTTGGGATGTCTAAACCCATCCAGTGTTTTCTCAGCCTCTGCTTACAAGCATGAGGATTGAGGAGCTAGAAACATCTCTAGCTATCCATGGATAGCTGTAGGAAGGACTTTTTTTTTTTTCCTTTTAACATTGGGGAAGACACTCAGAGCCTTGTACATGCCAGGCAAGTACTCTACCACTGAGCTACCTCCCCAGCCCTTTATTTTGAGACAGGGTCTTGATAATTTGCCCAGGTTGGCCTGGAATTTGTGATTTGCTTGCCTTAGCCTCTCAAGTAGCTGGGATTACAGGCACATATCACCTTGCCCAGTTTTAAAAGGATTTCTTTAGCTTGACCCCAGTTCTTCCTCCTTGCTGCTTCTTCCTATTGGTACCTGGAGAGGTTCAAAATCAGTTTGGGAAGATAAAAATCATGCCAGTGATGACCAAGATGGTCACCTGGGTAGGGTTGGCAGGTTAAATACAGGATGCCCAGTGAAATTTGACTTCATATAAGCAACAAATGATTTTGTAGTATGAGGATGTCCCAAATATTGCATGGGACATATTTATACTAAAAACCATTTCTTGTTTTTCTAAAATCAAATTTACCTCTAGATTTCTTTCCTATATTTTTATTTGCTAAATCTAGCAATCTTATACTTGAGTATAATTTCAGACTGAGTGCAAGAACCTACCTCCCTTTGACGCACTCTGAGCAGGATTAAAACTTCTCTGGAGGCCCAGGGAGAGTCATATGAGGGCTCAAAGGAAGGAGCAATTCATTCTGAGTGTGTTTTGGGGAGTGGAAACAGAGAGAAGGCTTAACTAAAGAAATGAAATTTAAGTTGCAGCTTAGAAGTATACCAGGCAGGGAATGGGAGCAAATGAATGAATAAATTAGTAAGTTGTAATTTCCTTGTAGACAGGAACCATTTCATATCCATTTGTATACTTACAGACAATTTATAGCAGGCTGTGCATAAACTAGATGTTCAGTGATGAAGCAAAAGAAAGGAAGAGGAAGGGAAGGAATAACCATCAGAGTGTCCTAGAAGTCAGATAATGTTTGCAGAGCTAGGATGTTAGCTGTGGAGGCTTTATGTATGTCAGGGTGGTATAGGTGTGGCCCAGCCTGCATGGCTAGGTCTCTGAGGAGGGGAACAGATCCTACTGTCCTGTGCTTTGGTGGCTGGGCCTCAAGTGTTCAGGGGACAGCTGGAGTGCAGCTCTGAGTAAAGGAAGTAGGTGTGGCCCCGGTGAGAGGTGGGAAATGAGGATTCTAGTCTCAGTTCTGTTCCTTGTTTCATTCAGTCAGAGACTCTCAGAGATGAGTGAAGCCCTAGGAATTCTCTCAGCTATTATCTTTATTCTACAGATGGGGAAATTGAGGCTTAGAACTGGACAGGGACTGCTGAACTTGGCTTTTGATTCCATGGCTTCATTTATGTATTAATTCAGCAAATGTTTATAAAATAACCATTTTATGTCAGGCATTGGGGAGACTGGAGTTCAGAGATAAGTAAAACACATTCTTAGCCTCTAGGAGATCACCTATTAGTGGGAAAGCAGGAACGATGAGGGATGCTGTGGAAGGGCAGGTGGCCAGAGGGAGGGTTGGTAGGAATGAAGGCAAAGGTGATGCTTAAGGGGTGGCATGAAGGATAAGTAAGGGAAAGTTGACCAGGTTGTTGGAATAGCTCATTGCAGCAGGGTCTGAGGTTTAAAAGGAGAAATGGTGAGAGAGAAGGATGGTAAAAGGAGGATCCAGGATATATGGTCTGAGCTGAGGTGGAAACTTCAGGGGTTCAGGTCCTTTTTTCCTAGATACCAAGTTTGACTCTTAGGGCTTCCTGGGGCTCAGATTCCTCTTCCCATATTTGGAGGCCAGGCATCAGCATTCCCAAATACCTGTTCTCATTTCATTTGCTTTGCTATCACTAGACAGTCTGCTTTTCTGAGCTTGGCCTCAGTTTTCCTGTGGGGACAATGGGCCTTCTTGGCTTCCAGCTTCAGGAATAATACTGACAGGGATCAGCGGAAGAATCCTATAGTCTGTGCCCTCCATCCCACCTCCATTTTCTCAGGGGTTAGAGTGGCAGGTGTCAGCATGGCCACGGCCCCCTGCTTCCCCTCCCCCGCTGTGTTCCCTATAATTTTATATTGAGACCTGTGGTCATGACGTGGATTTTACTGCATTAACGACATGGCCTGCCCAGGTTTAATGACAAAATCCATACTCTGGCCCTGGGCCTGCTCCTCGTTTGCATAATTCCCAGAATACAGCTCCCTGAAGCTTTTGACCTGGGCCATTACAGTGGCCATAAAATGGGCCATAAAACCGCTGGGGATGGCCAAGAGGAGGGGGCTGTGGTCTTGCTGGGGTGGGAATGAAGCCCTCAACCCTCTACTCTTCATAGGCTTGGGTGGAGGCATCCTCTGGCTCTTCCTTTCCACAGTTCCCAGAATCTGGAAGTCCATCTCAGGCCAAAGATACCCCCAGAAATCCTTAGTCCAGCTACCCATCCTGTACAGAAATCCCTTCTCCAACTCTGTTGTCAGCATCACAGGTAGCCGCCAGAGCCTACAGGAGGCAGACTGTCAGCAAGCATCCTCTCCTTGAACATTCCTGGTGCTGCCCTTGACAATTCCTCCAACTGTTGGGCAAGGCCTTTTGCCACAGGTGGGTCTAGTTCACATAAGCCTAGGTTGAATCTTGTCTCTCTCCAGGAGGCCTAGTTCCCTGGAGAGGTCAGGAGCCAGGCTGAGCCGCATAGTAGGGAGCCGCGGAGGGGATGGGGACAGGGACTGGGTCGGGCTGTCAGTGCTAAAGATGATGAATGGGGGAGGTGAGGCGGGAGGCCCAGTGTTATCGGCGGTGGATGGCGGGCGCGGGCGCTCGCCGCTCCTGCTAATCCCCGGGCGCTGCCTCAGCCCTTGCACTGATAACGAGGAAATGGGACTGACAACAATTTTTAGCTGAGAGATTCTTCACCAAAATGCCAGGCGGCCGGAGGTCTGACAGCGCCTGATTGAGTGTGTGAGTGTGTGGGGGGAACGCCCGCAGCCCCCTCCCCTCCCATGCAAAGATGGATCGCTCATTCCGCCTCCCGTCCACATTCATTACCGCGCCTCCCTCCCACCACCCCTGCCGCTGTAGGGCCTGCCACCTCCACTTCCCTGCCTGCCTGCCTAGGTATCTCCAAAGCAAGAGGAGGGCGGGAGGAGTCTGACCCTGTCCTCAGCCTTACACAGGGCACTGTCTCAGAGAGCAGGGAGGGAGCCCGGCCAGGGTGTCAGGACAGTCAGGTCCTGGTTGATGGCTCCCTAGTCAGAGTGACCTCCAGGGGAGGCTTGGGGAGCTGCTAGACTTCCTATCCCACCAGGTCCCAATAAGGCTCCAACAGGAATCGGCTGTCTGTAAAAGGTGAAGGGGGACTGACTGAGTAGAGAGAAGAAGACAAGCCAGGGCAGCCCTCTAGCAGCCTGGGCCAGGCTCCAGTCTATCCATCTGTCCAAGTTTTGCAACAAGGCCTCAGGTATGTGGGGGTCTAGATTAGCCCTCTGCTGCCCCCCTCTGTTGGGAATTGCTGACCATTGGGAACAGGTAAGTGGGCCCCACACATGCTGCTCCTTCCCTGCCATCTTCTTCAGTGAGTACTGGACACCTGGAAGGTGAAGGTCTCATTCAAAGAAAAGCCTTCTCCTCCTAGATCAATAACCCACATCCGGCCTTGCAGCTCCCCACCATGTGATTGCCTCTCTGGCTTGGCCTTTTGCTTTTGTCCCACTTCTGTTGCCTGGTGGTTCTATTCTTATGTCTCTGCTTGTCTAAGCAGTAATTTCCATCTCTACTATCTCTTCTCTGCAGGCCACAAAGGGCATGACTTGACTGCCTGGTGTCTGACTAGGGATGGGGACCATTAAAATGAGGGTGAAGGTGATCCTAATGTTAGATGGCAATGGAGGCTAGGACTTTTAAGAGTATGCATATAGGTAGGTATATGTGCATCTTTGTGTGTATACATGTGTAGGTCCTGCCCTTCCCCTCCCCACCTCTAGTAGAAGGACTTTCATTTTTTAGTGACAAGTCAAAACAGAAATTCAAGCAGAATTCATCAGAGTTTCACTAGCACAGATTTGTGGTTTATGCCTGCATCTGTCCCATCCTGACACCTGGCTGTGTCCTGTATCCAGCCTTCTTCCTGGTTATACTCAGGCTATAGATATATCTATATATAGATATATGGTAGATATATCTACCATTCAATAGATTCTCTGGTCCTGGCTCCCTGGCCTCTGTGGAATTCCTTCTCGTATGCACTCATACCCATGAATCTGTTTATTGGTTTGTGTGTCCATGTATCCATCTGTACATTCACCCATCTATTTATATGTTTTTTGTTAAATAAAAATAATACTACTAAGTATCATTATATGTTAAGCTATAGTTTGGTACTGCACATACTTTATCTCATGGCAGTCCTGTGAAGTAGGAATTATTATCTCACTAATAAGGAAATGGGGCTCAGAATAATGCAATGACAGTAACAAAGGGAACTGCAGAGATTTAAATCTACGTCTGTCTGATCCAAACCTGAGCAATACCCAACTACCTTCCTACCTATGGACCCATTCACCTAGCTCATGATTCAGTACTTTTCTATAGGTGTCTGCTCATACCCACTATGGGCCTGCTCTAGTACAGATATCAGATAATAATAAAAAACAAGATAACTACAGTAACTGTCTTCAGAGAATTTGGGACCTAACTATGGATAGAGACAGTAAATGATTGTCCCGAGAGTGGTCTTAGGAAAAGGAAAATGCATGGAGCTAATGAGAGCATATCATCTGGTCTGAGAGGTGAGGGAAGTTATATTTAAGCAAAGGCCTGAAGGATGAGTTGGAACCAGTCATGCACTACACTAGGAAAAGTAATGTTCTAGATAGAAATCAGCATGTTTGAAGGTATAGAGGAGGGAGATTCCAAGTAAGGAGTTTGGCTGGAGCAGAGTGAGTGACATATGATGATAGTGAGGCCACAACTTGAAGATTTTTTTTTTCTTTTTTTGTGGTGTTGGGGATTGAACCCAGGGCCTTGCACATGCTAGACAAGTACTCTATCACTGAGTTACATCCCCAGACCTCTGGAGGACTTTTTATTTACATTAATGATTTTGGTTATTACTATTTTTTAATGTATAACCAGAAGCCTTTGTGAGAGTTTTAACAGGGGATTAATATATCAGACTTACATTTTATTTTTATTTTTTAAATACTTTTATTAATGCATTATAGTTATACAAAATAGCTGGGTTCATTATGACGCAATCATACATGTATAGGATTTAATTTGCTCCCTTTCAGTCCCCAGTGCCTCCTTTTCCCCCTTTCCTGTTCCTTCCCCTTGTTGCCCTTCCTCTATTCAACTGGTCAGACTTGTATTTTAAAAGGATTATTCTAATTGCAAAGTAGCTGATTGTCTAAGAGGCAAAAGCAAACACAGTAGGGTATTTCATTCACTCAGGTGAGAAATGATGGTGGGGAATTGCAGAAGCAGGTGGATTGGATATTGGGGGTTAAAGGACAGAAAGTGGTTAAGGATGGCTGGGCACGGTGATACACAGCTTTAGTGCCAGAGATTCAAGAGGCTGAAGTAGGAGGATTGCAAGTTTGAGGCCAACCTTAGCAACTTAGTGAGACCGTGTCTTAAAATGAAAAATAAAAAAGGCTGGAGATGCATGCAGCTTAGTGATAGAGCTCCCCTGGTCTTAATCCCCAGCACCAGAAAAGAAAAGAAAAAAGAAAAGTTAAGGATGATTCTAAGATTTCTGACTGGAGGGACTACTAGGTGGTAGACCATTAACTGACTTATGAAACAAGAGAAGAAGCTGCAGGGTTAGTAAGGAAGAAAATGAGTTCAGTTTGGGGTCTGTTTAGTTTGAGGAACTATTAAGACATCTATGTGAAAATGCTGAGGTATGACTATGTGAGACAGAGCCAGATTATAGACTTGGGAGACACTTACATACATATAAGAACTAAAGTTTACCACTGTATCCTTTGTGACTAGAACAAGGTCTGACATATGGTAAATACTCAAGAAATATTTATTGAATGAGTAAATGAATGAAGTTAAGAGAAGGTGAGATCAACTAGGGAAAGAGTATAGAGTAAGAAGAATCTGGAGCAGAACCTTGATTAACAGATGAAGGAAGTTTAAGTCACCAAGGACTAAGAAGGAACAGTCAAGGGGCAGATGATTACAAGGAAAGAGTGATGTCATTGAAGCCAAGAAAGGAAGAGTTTCAAGGAGGCAGGGTTGGGGGGGGGGTAATTGTCACCAAGAGTCAAATGCTGCTAAGAGGTCAACAACATCAGACATGAAAAGTGTTCCGTCCACTCATCCTATCCATAGTACAACCCTTCTACCCTTCACTTCATCCATCCATCATCTATCCAAACCACCTAATTACTCATCCATTCTCCCCTCTTACTCATTCCCTTCCTTCTCCTATCTAGAAAACCATGATTGGTGCCTCTGTTGAATATGGGGCAGGAAGAGTTAACATGCTGACAGACGGCATTTTTTACCTTCAGTCAATATGAACAAGGCCCCAAGACTATGATTCCAAACATCTGGATTTCATCAATATGTGATCTGTCATCGTATATTGGCATTCCCCAGTCCCCGCGCCAGAGCAATGCGGCTGGTTTTATTAATACGTCAAATACATTATCCGTGTAATACACTTGTCTGGCTGGGGCCTCCCGCTGGGGCGGGGCGGCGGATTTGAATGTATGATGAATCAGTTTGCATTACATGTTCGTAAGTCATCATTTGTCAGGATTAATAGGCATCCCTGGTCGAGGAGGTGGGGGTAGGGCAGGCAGGAGAGAGATGTGTATTTAGCTGTGGCCCATACTTATCTGCTGGTGCCCAGGCACACCCTGAAAGCAGCTGTGCTCCCTCTTGCCCACACCCCAGGATGGCAGCTGGCATTCAAGGGACAGAGGTGACATTTTCATCAGTTCTCGAGGTCAACAATATCAGGCATGAAAAGTGTCCCATCCATTCGTTGTATCCATAGTACAAACAAATATTGCCAAACAACCAGAAAGGATAGACAGGGGCCCTTGTCACAAGCTGGCTAACTCTTAGTCATCCTTCAGGACTCAACCTAGAATTCTTTCTTCTAGCAAGCCTTCCTTGACTCCCCTTGACTTGGCACATATGTGTTATTATTGCCTGTGTGTATGTATTATCTTCTTTAAGATAGTAAATTTCTTCTTTTTTTCTTTTTTAAATATTTATTTTTTAGTTTTCGGCGGACACAACATCTTTGTTTGTATGTGGTGCTGAGAATCGAACCCGGACCGCACGCATGCCAGGCAAGCGCGATACCGCTTGAGCCACATCCCCAGCTCAAGATAGTAAATTTCTTGAGGGCAAAAAATTAACTTGATCATAGCTGTAGCCTTGGCAACTAGCAGGGGACATAGCTCAAAGTAAGAGAAAAGTAATAGGAATAACATAAATCAATAAATATTCCTTGAGTTAATGATAATGAATAAACAATTGTTGACTTACTGAAACCCCAACAATGCCAACATTGCTTTGCTGACCAGGGGCTTTCTCTGATTCCTTGCCCCCACCCTGACTCTGGCCTAATCTGGTTGCATAGACCCCTTCACACAGCATCAGGTTCTTTATATGTGACATACATATCCAGATCCCATACACAGGAGTGACAGTTCATGCCCATAAGCCCTTGCCATTTTCCCTCTCCCTCCTCTCTGCCTACAGAAACTCAGATTGGTGCTGCCCATTCCACATGGCTTCCTCTCAGCTTCAGGTACAAGAGTCTGGCTGGTGCTCTGACTTCTATTTGGATGGATGTTTTTTTTTTTGTCTTTGGCAATAGGGGGGGCCAGACATAGTTCTTGGGTGGCCATTGGCAAACATCTGCAGGTCAGCCTCTGGGCAGGTTTAGACTCAGACTTAGGCTCAAGCTGAGGCCAAAGGTGCTGGACCAAAGCACAATCAAGCTCACTGAATCCTGGTCATAGAACCTAAATCCTTGGCTCCATGAGCCTTTGCTGCAGCCAAGTGCACCAGCCAACTGGTTCAGAGGCTGGAGGGGCTTCGGGACACAGTTGTTTCACACCCCTGACCTTGGCTCTCCTAAACATAACTACAGCTTCTTTTCTCTTGTGGAGCTACAATTTGTTCCCCTCCTCCTAGAGCTAATAACTTCCAGACAGTTCCTGGGCTGGGCGGGCCAGTGTTGGGTGGGGTAGGTGGGGCCTCCCAGCGTTTCCTGGGATTAGGCTTTACAAACTGCAATAAAGGGCTCCCTTCAGGAAAATATCCACATATGGACATGCACGGTTGTCATCCCAAATGTCTAGATGCACAGGTACTCATGAAAGAGTGGGCGGTTTTTCACATCTACACGTTCACACCTGAGCTCCTATGCATATACTAATGTGAGGCCTGAGTATGTACCTACATATTCTCCCCAGCATGCTACCCACTTCCCTCTCCCCATCCCTTCCTCGCCATGGAGCCAAAAGGCTAAGACTGTACTGTTTAAAGTAAAGTAACTTCAAGTGTGCTTTACCCCCTGCTGGCTCTGACTATGGGCTTATAAAAATGAAGTGGGAACCTCCACAGCTGTGGGCAATAAATCCTGAATGGCCGAGGAGGGCAGGGTTACCTGCTTTCTAGGCAGATGGGTGGAGCCCGGGCACTGACAAGTGCCTGTGGGACTGGACTGGCAGTGGGCCAGCTGTGGAGCCTCAGGCACTGCCTGCTGGCCCAGCCCAGCTGCCTCCCACAGACCTGTGCAGTCAAAAGAGCCAGAGCTCTAGGGAAGGAGCAAGGACTGAGAGCGCAGTAGAGGGAGGTAGAGGAAGAGAAGGGCCGGGGTGGGGAGTGTGAGCAAGACAGCCACGTGCTGCTAAGGCTGAGGGGAGCCCTCGCA